TCATCCATCATTATACATTCAAGACACAGTTGTTAACTCTCCAGCATCTACAGCAAAGAAATGACACACAGAGGATAAAAAGACTAGCATGACTTCACATTCCTACTGGGGTATGTAAATGACAGAGGCTTCTGAAGAAACCCCTAGCTTCTAACCTAGACAAAGAATGATCAATGCCTACTAAGAGCATTCAACAAGAAATGGTGCCAATATGAGACCCGATTGTCAAAATGAGTCCTGGGGGTTGAGAAGCTGTCTCAAAGGCCTCTTCAATACAATATACTCAAATTCCCAATGTATTTCTTTTCTAGTACTCTTACTCATTCAAGCCATAACCTTATGAGTCATCCTCAAAAGCTATCTTTCCCTCATTCCTCATTCAAAGTCAATCACATTTCATGGTTACTTCCTAAACTATTCCTAGAACCTACCCAAGTCTTTCATTTCTTCCAGTGATCTAGTAATACAAAGTACAGCCATCACTCACTTGAATTATAGTCTCTCTATGCCCACCCATCATCCTTCCCTGCCAATCTGTCCTACACTGTCACAAAAGTAGTCTCCTTAAGACAATTTGTGATGGTTTCTAAAGGCTTTCCTTTGAGTCATAGACACTAACTATTGTGGAGTAGTTGCTGTGCTGTCTTTCTGATCCTGACCAGGACAAGCTAACTCATGCTCCTGCATGCTATTCTCTCTCTGTGCTCTGATAACTCATGTTCCTTAGACTGTCCTAAGTATCCACGTCCTTCCCCAATATTTGACCACAGTGTACACTCATTTTCCTTTATTATTTACAAACCTGTCTTTCTGATCCTGACCAGGACAAGCTAACTCATGCTCCTGCATGCTACTCTCTCTCTCTGTGCTCTGATAACTCATGTTCCTTCAGACTGTCCTAAGTATCCACGTCCTTCCCCAATACTTGACCACAGTGTACACTCATTTTCCTTTATTATTTACAAACTTCTTGTTCTTTCTCCTGAGTACCTCTTTTTTCTACTTGCTCTGCAAGCATCAAGCATCAATTTGTGTGGACATCTAGTACCATGTTTGATTTCTTTCTACACTCATATAACATAAAGTTCCTTTCATAGTACAATTTTAGCTTTGTCCAAATTCTAATAAAATAATCTAAGTCCTCACACTTAACATTAAACTTTTACCAATATGAAGATAGGCAGTACATCATGTTCTATTAATCAATGTCTTTTCTACTATCTCAATGTCCAACGCGAACAATGAGCCCAAGCATTTATCAAAGATGGGAGCAAAATGCCAGGGAAAAAAATGAAAGTAGCTTCTCCAGAACAATAAAAGGTTTCCACGGAGCAACAAACCACTTCATTTTTAACATTTCTTAGACTATAACAATGTTCTCTCTTCTTCAAATGAGATAGACACACTGAAAACACCAGGTTACAATATTAAGAACCTCAGTTGCTATTTTGGCTATTGTGCTTTCTCCTGCTGCTGGCTCTCACTTTCCCTGATTTTCAAATTCCTCAGCCTGCATACCACAGATTTCTACCCTCTGCCTTTGAGGTGGTGGTATCCTACATGGCCACTGTCAATGCTCCAGTCTCTAATATCCTCCTTGGTGTTTTCTAATTTGTTACTTTGCATTTTCTGCAGACTGGAAACTGCACAACCCAGATAACCAAGCTCATTGTACTGAGTGTGAAGTCTGAGTGCCTTGTTTCAAGTGAGCCCTGGGTTCCTCTAAGCCAGAGAAAGTCACTTCCTATGCTTCCTAAATACTAAGTCCCCCACCCCCCACTCCTGCTCACAGTGTTGCTTCTTTCTTTCCTTTCCTTTCATTTTTATCCCCTCAGTTTTTTATTTGGAAAAATCTATCTGCCTTTCATGGTCTAACCAGCTTATCAGCATTTTCCTATCACTATACAGTAGAAACTCATCCAAACAGTGAGCCTAAATATTTAAGACTTGACACCCTTCTTCATTTTCATTTTTTTGGGTTTTCAATGATGTAAACATCTGCCCAGATCAAAGGAAAATTAGAGTCATTTCCATAGGTTTTACTTTACCAAGAAGACCAATTAACCAAACATCAAGAGGTTACTTTAGGGACTGGAGATATACCTCAGTTGATAGAGTATATTCCAAACACACACAAGGCCACACATTTGATCATCAACATCACATAACTTTGTGTGGAGTACATACCTAAAATCCAGCACTCTGGTAGAAGAAGCAGATGGTTCAGAAGTCATAGAAAGTTTGAGGTCAGCCTGGTATACATGAGAAGCTGTCTCAAAGAAAAGAAAAGAAAAAAAAAAAAGAAAAGAAAAAGTGAAGTTGCTTGAAAGTTTGTGGCACTATCAACAGACTACAAGTCCAGACACTATGATAATGATCTGCTTCCCTTCTTACTAGCAAGATCTTCTTGTTCTTAAATTTAACTAGACTAATATTATTTCCACCTTGGGTTAAAAAAAAAAAAACAGTGGAGAGTCAAACCCACAATTATAAGCCAGAGTTTAGCTGATCATGGAGGGAAATAAAAGCAAATGCAGTATTTGACAGTATTTGTGTGGGGAATTTCAGAAACACAGAGCTATGACTCTCAGTCCCATGTTAAATTTCTTGCTTTAGACCTTTTTACTGGGTTACTTGCCTTCAGAACGCATAAAGAACAAGAAAACAAAATGGAAAAACAGAGTTTAGAAAGAAAAATTCCTTACAAACTGAAAATCATGTTCAAAGTTTGAGAACAAAACCTTGTTAAAAAATACATGAAAATTTCATCTACTCCTTTACATTGTAACTGGAATAGCCTTGGCCTGTATTAAGAAATTCACCCCATTTGATACAAATGTGATATTAATGACTGGTCAGACAAAAAATGACATCATTGCCTGTTCTCTCTATATAAAGTCAATAGACGATTTTCTACATGCTGTAAAGGGGCCAAAGTCTCACCATGCATTCAAGGCAGGAAGATATTCTAAGGAGAAGTGAAAGAGCCAGCGGGAACCCAAACCGCAAAGCTGAAAAAGCAGCTAGGGTGAGCCTGCACTCAGAATAGGAATCCCCTGCTCTCTCTCACTTGTGAAGTAACTAGAAGCCATATGGTGACTCTAAATATAATCTATTGAAGGCAATTTTCTGCCCAGGTACATTTTAAAGCTGTTTTCTACACAAAGTGCTTATTTGGCTCTGTTTTAGAATGGCCTTGAAAAATCAGACAGCTCTATGAAACTGCCTTTGTAACAAGCAACAGAAAGCATTAGAAGTAAGAAAGGGTGACACTGTGGCCCTAGGGTAAAGAGCCAGGAGTCATGGACATCACTCTCACCCTATCACTCACAAAGTAGCACTGTGACCTCTTCTGGTCCAGAGTGTCTTCACTTTGAAGAAACACGTTCTGGCAGCAGTACTGCTAAAGATATTTGTAACAAGAACCGATTCTAAGAATCTATGCCTTTTAATAATTTTCTGAACCCAATTTTCTTTTAGTAAAAACAGATCACTAGATTTCAATAGAATGGAATATTTAAGCTCCCGAAACTCTGAGTTCCATTCCTAAAAGTGGGCATAACAAGAATGTACCATGTAAAGTTGCTAAATTGATTAAATGATGTGTTTCTAAGCATAGAATAGTGGATCAAGCTTGGAGTTCCAGCACCTACAAGGTTGAGCAAAGATGATCAACAGGAACTCAAGGATGGGGATGACAGCCATAGCTCTGTGGTTAAGAATGCTGGCTGCTCATCCAGTGGACCTGTATTCAATCCCCAGCACCCACATGTTGGCTCACAAAAATCTGTAGCTCAATCCCAGCGAATCTAGTGCCCTCTTCTGCCCTCTTAGAATACTGTATTCACATAGCACACAGACATACATACAGACAAAAATAGTCCTACACACACATGTGTAATTCCTCAAAACTTCAAGACCAGTCTAGACTAAATGTGAAACCCAGTCTTAAATCAGCAACAATAATAACTAAATTGTTTCAATATACTTAGTAAGCCCTTCTCAATGCCCTCAATAATATTACAGTTTATTGGCCATGTGGGAGGGTTCAATGGTTCTCAGACATTCATATAAATTCAGGCAAATCACCTAGAGATGCTCAAAATACAAGAAGAGCCCAAGATGCGGTTCTTGTATGCCCATTTAGTTTTTGTTGATCTCAGACCACATACTATAGGAAGGGCATGGAGGAACATGTTTAAGATAGTACACTAATGAAGTCATGTTCAGACACCATGAAAGAAATCCTCTATTTCTTTTCAAATACCTGCAGCCTATCCTCCCTTCAAGGCCAATGTGAGTGGCATGGTTTATAAATCCAGCTTACCACACTACCTCTTTGTACACTTTTTCTTACCATCTTTGAATCTTATTGTTGGTAAGAGTCTGATGATTCTAAAGTATGGCTCTGCAGGGACCACCATGTGACTCAAGAAGGGTGGCCTTAACAACATAGGTTTTTGGTTTCTACTCTTAGATCATTTAGTAAAAGAAAATAGAAGAAGGTGAGTTTAAAAATGAGACTAGATATTTAAGATTTTTCTAAATGATTGCTATGGTAAATTGATTTGGTAAAATGAACTACAGAGTGGTTCTCATCCAAAATCAACTGCATAGTTTAAACAGAGCAGGGTCTCAGGATCTAAGCCAGGTGAATAAATAAATGAAGTCAATTAAATCTCCATTGTTTCTAATATGTTTCAAATTTGAGAACAACAGAACTTATAATGAAACACAGTAGTGAGGGTAGGGACTCTATTGGTTTAGCTGGATCTCTGATGTTGTAAACTGAAGTTCTCCCAAGATGAAAAGCCCAAAGCTATGTTAAATATTCTACAGGACAGAATAAATGAAATTTGTTATTATAGACACATAGAATACTGCAGACCAAACTGAAATTATTTTCAGCTAGTTTCCCCTTAAAATCCATACATCACTTACTCCTGTCTGATCTATATTGTTGTGATTTACAAACAGAGAAACTTTAGACGTTTACTCTTGTGCTCACTTCTGCAGCACATATATTAAAATTGGAATGATAAAGAGAAGATTAGCATAGCCCTATGCAAGGATGGCATGCAAATTAATGAAGCATTCCATATTTTCTTTAAATATTAAGAACAGCAAAGAAAAGAGGCCAAGTAACATATAAAGGTAGACAGATCAAAATTACACCGAAATTCTCAATGGAAACTTTGAAAGCCAGAAGGTCCTGGATAGATGTCCTACAAACACTAAGGGAACAGTACACACTACTGTACCCAGCAAAGCTTTCAATCACTGTAGATGGAGAAAATAAGATATTCCATGATATTCCAGATTTAAACAATATATTTCCACAAATTCAGCCCTACAGAAACTCTGGAAGGAAAACTCCAACCCAATGAAGATAACTACATTCACAAAACCATAGGCAATAGATAATCCTACTTTACCAAACACCAAAAGAAAAAGGAGAGTGAAATCCACACACAATGACACCACCAACAATAAATCCAAAACAAACAAGAACAAACAATCGATGGACATTAATATCCCTCAATGTCAATGGTCTTAACCTACCTATGAAAAGATACAGGCTAAAAAAAGGATACCAAGACAGAATCCATCATTCTGCTGTATACAAGAAACACACCTCAACTTCAAAGACAGGCATTAACTCAGAGTAAAGAGTTGGGAAAAGATTTTCCAATCAAATGGACCCAAGAAACAAGCTGGTATAGCAATCCTAATATCTAACAAATTAGACTTCAAACAAAAATCATTCAAAAGAGATGAAGAAGGGCATTTCATACTCATCACAGGAAAAGTCCAACAAGATGAAGTCTCAATCCTGAGCATCTATGCCCCAAATACGAAGGCACCCACATTTGTAGAAAAAAACATTACTAAAGCTCAAACCACACATAAAACCTCACTTTAGTGATAGTAGGAGACTTCAACACCCCCCTTTCACCACTATACAGGACCACCAGATGGAAACTTAACAAAGAAACAAAGGATCTAACAGACGGTATAACCCAATTAGGATTAACAGACATCTATGGAACATTCCATTCAAACACAAAAGAATATACCTTCTTCTCAGCACCACATGGCAATTTCTCTAAAATACTTGGCAACATAGCAAACCTCCATAGATACAAAAAATTGAAATAACCCCCAGTATCTTATCAGACCACTAACCTTTAAAGTTAGAAATCAACAGCAACACAAATTGCAAAAACCTACAAATTCATGGAAATTGAATAACACACAATTGCACAATTCCTGGGTCCAGGAAGAAATAAAAATATTAAAGACTTCCTAGAATTTAATGAGAATGAAGACACCACATACTCAAATATATGGGACACTTTGAAAGTTCATAGCACTAATTGCCACATGACAAAACTGGAAAATAGTCACTCTAGAGAATTGACAGAACAACTGAAAGCTTTAGAACAAAAAGAAGCAAACTCACCAAGGAGGAGGAGATGCCATGAAATAATCAAATTGAGGGCTGAAATCAATGAAGTAAAAATTAGGAAAACATTACAAAGAATCAATGAAACAAAGAGTTGGTTCTTTGAGGACATCAACAAGATAGACAAACCTCTGTCCAAACTAACCAAAAAGCATAAAAAGAGCATGCTAATTAACAAAATCAGAAATGAAAAGGGGTATATAACAACGATACTGAGGAAATCCAAAGAATCATCAGGTCATATTTTGAAAACCTGTACTCCACAAAATTCAAAAATCTAAAGGAAATGGACAATTTTCTGGATAGATATTACTTACCAAATTAAATCAAGAATAGAGAAGCAGTTAAAATTGAGCTATAAACCCTAATGAAATAGAAGCAGTCATCAAAAGTCTCCCAACCAGAACAAGCCCAGGGCCACATGGCTTCACTGCAGAATTTTACCAGAAATTCAAACAAGAGCTACTACTAGCACTCCTCAAATTGTTACACCCATTATAAGCTGAAGGGACATTGCCAAACTCATTTTATGAGGCTACAATTGCCTTGATACCCAAGCCACACAAAGACACAAATAAGAAAGAGAACTACAGACTAATATCCCTCATGAACACTGATGCAAAAATACTCAATAAAATACTGGCAAACTGAATCCAAGAACACATCAGAAAAAAAACATCCACCATGATCAAGCAGGCTTCCATCCCAGGGATGCAAGGATGGTTCAACATACAAAAATCTGTCAATGTAATCCACCATATAAACCAACTGAAGAAGAAAAACACACAATCATCTCACTGGACAATGAAAAAGCCTTCGAAAAAATCCAATACCCTTTCATGATAAAGGTCCTGGAGAGATCAGGGATAACAGGAACATACCTAAACATAATAAAGACAATATACAGCATACCAACAGCCAACATCAAACTAAATGGAGAGAAACACAAGGCGATTCCTCTAAAATCAGGAACAAGACAAGGCTGTCCACTCTCTCCATATCTCTTCAATATTGTACTTGAAGTTCTAGCTAGAGCAGAAAGACAAGAAAAGGAAATAAAGTGGATATAAATTAGAAAGGAAGAATTCATACTTTCACTATTTTCAAATGATATAATTGTTTACATAAGTGACCCGAAAAACTCTACCAGGGAACTCCTACAGCTGATAAACACCTTTGGCAATATGGCAGGATACAAAAAGAATTAGTAGCTCTACTATATACAGATGATAAATCCAATGAGAAAGAATTCAGAGAAACATCACATTTCACAATAGCCACAAACAACGTAAGATATCTTGGGGCAACACTAACGAAAAAGGTAAAAGACCTGTACAGTAAGAATTTTGAGTCTTTAAAGAAAGAAATTAAAGAAGATGCCACAACATGGAAATATCTCCCACGCTCTTGGATAGGTAGAATCAACATAGTAAAAATGGCAATCTTGTCAAAAGCCATCTACAAATTCAATGTGATTCCAATCAAAATCCCAAAACAGTTCTTCACAGACCTTGAAGAGCAATACTCAACGTTATATGGAAAAACAAAAGACCCAGGATATGGTACATCCCTGTACCATAAAGGAACTTCAGAGGCATCACCATCCCTGACTTCAAGCTCTATTTTAGAGCCACAGTCCTGAAAACAGCTTGGTATTGGCACAAAAGTAGACAGATAGACCAATGGAATTGAATGGAAAACTCTGATATTAACCCACACACCTATGAATACCTGATTATTGACAAAGAAGCTAAATCAATACAATGGGAAAAAAAGCATCTTCAACAAACAGTGCTGGCACAACTGGATTCGGACATGCAGACCATTGCAGATAGATCCATATCTATCATCATGCACAAAACTTAAGTCCAAATGAACCAGAGATCTCAACAAAAATCCAGCCACACTGAACCCTCTAGAAGAGAAAGTGGTAGATACCCTTGAACGAATTGGTACAGGAGACCCCTTCCTGAACATAACACCAGTGGCACATATATTGAGATTACAATTAATAAATGGGACCTCCTGAAACTGAGAAGCTTCTGTAAGGCAAAGGACACTGCCAGCAAGACAAAACGACAGCCACAGAATGGGAAAAGATCTTCACCAACCCCAAATCTCACAGAGGGCTGATATCCAAAATATACAATGAACTCAAGAAGCTAGACATCAAAACACCAATCAATGAAATTAAAAAGTGGGGTGCAGCACTAAATAGAGAATTCTCAACAGAGGAATCTAAAATGGCTGCAAGACACTTAAGAAACTGCTCAAAATTCTTAGCCATCAGGGAAATGCAACTCAAAACACCTCTGAGATACCATCTTACACCAGCTAGAATGGCTAAAATAAAAAACACCAATGACAGTCTATGCTGGAGAGGATGTGGAGAAAAAGGAACACTCCTCCATTGCTGGTGGGAGTGCAAACTTGTAAGACCACTTCGGAAATCAATATGGTGGTTGCTCAGAAAAATGGGAATCAGTCTACCTCAGCACTCACTCTATGGGGCCCATGGTGGTTGGATCAGTATTTATCCCTGGTGTAAGAAGGGACTTTGAGAGCCCATTCCACATGAGGGGATGCTCCCTCAGCCTGGACACATGCAGGAGGGCCTAGGCCCTGCCCAGGATGATATGACAGACTTTGAGGAATCCCCATGGAGGGCCTTACCCTCCCTGGAGAAGAGAGAGGGTATGAGGTAGAAGGTTGAGGAGGTTGGGGGAGGGGAGGGAGAAGATATTGACATGTGAAGCAAGCTTGCTTCTAATTTGGACTAATAAAAATAATAAAATAAAATAAAACCTTTACTCGTAGCACATAAATCAAAAGGCTAAGAAGGACATGGAGTGACTTCTGAGACCTGTAAGTAGAGTTTTCTTCACTTGGATGCAAACTGCCTACATGTAGCTACTAACAATGTATCTGGTAAATGCTTTTGATCTCTGGACTTCTTTGTTCTGGATCTAATAAAAATTTCAGTAAGCACTTATTTCTTAGAGCTACCTGCTGACAGACCATGGACAATCACATTTGACTCAATAATGAACTACCTTTTTCTATAATGGTATGTATGTGTGTACATGTTCCTCTCTGGCCATGTGTACATTTAGGGTGGAGATCTTCAGTTAATACATTTTCTTCAATCTTTTTCCACCTTATAATTAAGACAGGGTCTCCCCTGATGCTAGAGCTCCCAAATTTGGCTGGGCTGGCTGGCCAGTGAGTTTTAAGAATCTGCTGGTCGCTGCCTTCCCAGCCCAAAATTACAGGCTTGTATCAACATGCTCAACTAAAAAGATGATTGCCAGTGATTCAACTTGGATCTTCATGCTTATATAGCATGTGCCTTACTAACTTAGCCATCTCTGTAGTTTTAGGAACAAACTAGCTCTTGTTGCCTTTCAGTTGAAAACTGTATTTGCAATTACCGTACCTAACATAGAATCTAGAATTCAACAAATATTTGTGAAAATAATAAATTAAGATAATGAACACTCATTTACCTTCTACATCTTTTGCCTGCCACCTTAGACAACCAAGAGCACTGGGGCATAGGATTAGGGTTAAATTCTGGGACAGGCATCTCTGCCACTTAGCACCTGAGCAACTTCCTAAGGGACCATCAAGACCTCTCTGT